GGGTCCTTCACAGAAGAGGTTTTCCATCTAGATGCAAAAATTCCCTTCATATTGCTGCAGTCCAATATTTTGGTCTCTTGACCACCTTCACTGCACTCAGATGGTTATGCGCTCACCTGCAGGGAACAACCAGCTAGGGAGTATGTACCTTGAGCACCTATCTCAGTGGCTTCACACCTCTTCTGTTCCCAAAGCTGGATGTTCAGACCCCAAAAAGGACCTAGTGAAGGACAGCCAAAAAACTAGCCCAAAAGGAGTTTGGAGAGAGAAAGAAAACAGCAGCAAAGGAAAACACAGCTCTGCAAGGTTTCAATGTACCAAGTCCCCATCATCTGCCTACATTTTGCCCACACACTGTTTAATCAGCCTGCCAGGGAGCCTGGCTCCCTGCCAGTGGGAATGCGGATTCTGACAATTTGTCCAAAGTGCAGTCAGAAATTGCAGCTGAAAGGAAAGAGCACTTCATTTTTTAATTCTGCGTGTGTATGTATATGGGCTTTTTTTCCCCATGAAACAATTACAACCTCTAACTGCCGCCCACACTTCAGTTGCCTGAGAAACGCAGCGTGGGTATGGCTGTGGTAACAGGACTCGGGTTTTACACCACTCTTGCTATCATTGGCTGGCTGCAAGGCCCCCACAAAACTGTCCCAGCAGCTAGACATGGAAAGTATTACTGTCCCAGGCACAGACCACTCCAAATTTCTGCCAACGTGAGCATCTCTAGTGTCTTTATTACTCAGGTAATTATGCTGCTAATGGCACTGGCTCCATCCACCCGTCTCAGTACTTGTACTTAGAGGGTGCTCAGCACAGTTCAGCCTGGGTTGGGATGGAACAGGAAGCAGAGCACACCAAGAGCTGGGTATCACACATGCACTTCTGACTGGAGAAGAGCATTTTCTACACCTACCCTCGCAGCAGCATCCCCACCACCACCCTGATCAAAATCATTTCTTCTCAAAGGACAGGCCACATGTCTTTGCTGAAGACTACACTCATAGCAAATGTTCAGTGACACATGTCTTGGTTTAGAAGTTCTGTCTGGTATTGCCCTGAAAAGAAGTGTACTTTTTTTACATTGGACATTTGGGCAGAGGAGAGGGTTGCCCAAGCTGATTAAAAATACTCACCTTCCAAGGAATAGATGGAGCAGATCTACGCCACACTTCTGAGTGAGGTAGAGCGGAAGATGCTTTCTGGCTGAACAAAACCACATTTTCTTGGAGACAAAGAAAGCAAAACATACCCACCTGCTTACACCACTTATTTTGAACAATTTTAGTATAGTGACAGTGGAAAATAGGATTCTGTCCTTTCTTTCTGCAAAGACATGCCCCATCCAGCAGACTGTGCGAAGCCCCAGGGATGCTGCAGTCTTCCAAGCTACCAGGTGCAGGAAGGAATATCTACCTTTGCTAACTCTGAAGGCCAGCACACAGCTTTTCTGACCCTATTGCAAGTCCCAGGAGTATTTGAATACTCTGCAAACAATGGGGGAATAAGAACTTTTTACCAAAAGAACACTTATATAGGGGAGTGGTTAGACAACCTTCACAAGAGGCTGGTCCCTTCCTATTAATGGATTGTCTTTTCCAAGTGGTAACTGAATCTGTGTACTGTTCTGTTGCTTCCTGTGGTTTTTCTTTATAGTCTTGTTCAGTTTTTGTCTTACCTCTGGCTTTCAAACAAATCCTCTCCCTTTGGGCAAACTCTCCTTGCAATCTTCTTTTCCACAGAGTTTTCAGTCTTTGATGCTATATTCTGCTCTCTTCCACAGATTTTTAGCCATCTGTACATTTCCCCTACATTTTAAGACTGTGCATCATAAAGGCCCTTCAGTACCTTTACTCATGCAGACAAGCAAGGGCTACCTGAGCAAACAGTGCTTGTGCATTATGAAAGTCTTTCCCTGAGATTTTAACTCACAAACTTCTCTTTCCCAGTATGCCATTTTTACGGCATTTACATTCTCAAGATTCCTATTTAGCTTGTGGTCTGTGGTCAATGGCATAGTCCAAATATTTACAAACATTCCTGCAAGCGTCCTTGTAAGCATCAATGTGTTGTGGCTGAAGCAAGTTAAGACTAGGTAGGAAATGTTCTCTCCCTCAATATAACTGCTACTTCAGGAAGCAACTCCCTCCATTTAATTGCAATATCAAGATGTAAGTGCTATAACAAAATTACAGGCTTTAGTGACTAAGCAACACGCTACTAAGGAACTGGTCAATCTATTAAGTAATCAATACACTGATTATCAAATAAACACACCACTACTGCTAATCTGCAATTATACTATTTTCCACCCTATTACACACAATTACAAAAAGTGCTTATTTCACACTCTTAAGTCTTATGAATCACATACATCAACTATTCACTTACAAATCCATTACTTTACCTCTTTATATGACATATCACTGCAGTGGAAATCTATTCCTCTGAAGCCCACCCTCTCACAGCAATTCTTCCACAGTCCTGAAAGGAATTCCTGATGGATCAGGCTGCAAATCAGCAACACATCTCTATCTCTTGGTGCCTGCACTCCTTTCAGAAGGTTCCCTCTTCTTCTGTTCTTTATCTGATTCTTTTGCCTTATTCATCACTCCTTCTACTTCCTGGAACACCTTTCTGCCACTGTTGTGCCTCCCCTTCTCTGCCCAGGTTCTTCCCTATGACACATCCTTGTTAGTTTATCCTCACCAGACAAATTCAACCAAATCTGTCCCAAAGTCTGGACTTCCCAAGGTTGCTACTGGGGCAAATTCAGCCTATTATCGATACACCCTGCCTGGGAAGTGTGAACAAAACATCCTGACAAATTTTCAGTTCATAATAGCAACACATTTACCTCCACATTCTACAAGTGTGAGCAAGTAGTAAGTAATGAGTAAGACAATAAATCTACTTAGTCTTGATCCTTCACCTGATCCCAGGTCCTTGTCTTTGCATCCGATTGTGAGGAGCAGGCCAGCAAAACAAAAACCGGCATCAATTATGTACTGGTCTATCAAAAAACTAGCTGTGGAATGGGACCAGAAATGATGTCCTAAAACAAATGTGACCATGACACAGCAAACCTGGCAAGGTGGATAGCTGTTGTGCAGTAGCTCACATTTTCTAGGATGGCCCTTTTCCTGGGAGAAATAGTTAGCATAGTGGCTGATGTAACTTGAGAAACATCAATTTAGTCACAAACATGGAAAGGAACAGATGCAATGTGCAATGACCTGAAAAACGAAAACCTGCATTATCACAATTTCTCTTCCAGCTCTACCTTAAAAGCTAGTGGGTATTTTTGCCCTTACCTTGTAGATTAGGAGGCCACTGGAGTATATCAGTGCTCTGATGGGTATGAACTTTCTTCTCATTTCCAATCTAGAGATAACTGTGACAATTTCAGACCAAACTGTGCATTACTTTGGGCTAAGTCTCTTTCTTGTGCTACAATACTTATAAATACCCAAAGAGATGTGTAGCTGCTGTAGACTGTGGAGGTTTCTCTTGCATACACAAACTAGCCTTTTCAGTCTTCCTTGATAATTATATTCTGCACTTGGAAACTTGAACTGAAAATGGACAATGAAGAGAATATAAATGCATCTGTCTTTCACTTTGCACATGTTCTGTCATTTTGTTCTAGCTCATTGCATTGTGAGCAACGTGACATGACTAATGATTCCAGGTAGAAAAACCACCAGAAAATGCTCAGCGTTGACTCTGTCAGCTAGGAAGAAACAATAAGAAAAGATGTGGTGAGCAGTACTGACATTAACATTCAGACACAGTTCAAACATTCATTTGGGCTTAGAGGAGGCATTTTAATACATCTTTGTAAAATACTCCCACACCCATCCTTACCACCACCTTGTTTAGTCTTTCCATTAAAAACATATTAATCCAGAAGCATGCACTGGAATCAAAAATCCCAAGTGCTTTGAAGCAACCAGGATGGTTTGACAATGAAAAAATCTGATATCCTAAGGCATAGTGTGAACAAACAAACAAACACACACACACACACACACACACACAGACACACACACAGACACACAGCTTCTCAAGTGTCAGTCTTACCACTCATCTAAAGGCAACATACGGAGGAAAAATATAAAGAAACAGTCACCTCAGGATAGTCAAACATTCACAGAAATCTTAGGAAGAAACAACATGTCTTCCTCATTATTGTTCCAAGTACAAGCTGCTAGCCCTGTTGTAAAGCTTGGGCATGACCCACCTGTGTTGGACACATCCTCTTCATCTGCTCACTACATCTGTGACAAACTCTCCACAGAGTGTACTAACTTCCCATGCTGAGCTATGTCCCACCCAAGAACTGCAAGAACAACACTGTTTGCTGTGTCTTGTACAGACTATTTCTCCTTACTTTGGATAGGCATAGTTTCTTAACCACTCCCACCTTTGCCTTTATACACTCCATCTTTTTCTCTACTGTCTGACTTTCATGGTTCCTTTCTTCCCACACACCATGGCAGCAGCAATTCCCAACCTCAACAGTGAGGAGTGACCTCCTCACAATTTTGTGACCTCCTACAAATTTTGAGATCAACTCCCAACCATTTCTGAACAGCTGTTTGCTGCAGTCTCACTGTTTAATCCACATGCTGGTAAACCCATTTTAAATCAGTTAATTCTCTTTTTGCTGTCTCTTCACAGCAAGCAGGGGTAGCTCTGCAGGCTACACACCCTGAAACAGCTTGAAGGGATCTACTCTTGTACAGGTGCAGAAGGAAGGGAGACGTGTTCCAGCTGCCCTCACACAGAACTAATGTGCACAAAGTGCCATTGGTTACCCCAACCACAGGTGAGATCCAGACTGTAAAGCAGACAGTACACATGTGCTTCGGCTCAGGAAACCTTGAAACTACTGACTGCCAGGAGTCTGAAGCAGGACAGCCACTGCAAAGCCACCTTCATGTTCTTACTTGTAGGAACAACTGTCAGGGTTCAAATAAAAAACATTCAGCTGCAGAACATGAAATACATTTGGTTTATTTCTTTCTAAAGTTTGTACATATACATATATCATTATACATATGTGAGATCCTTCAATAGGGTTGCTTGAGTTCAATGACATAAAAATTATTGAGAAGCTTGCAGGCTCTTTGTTGCCCGTAAGCAACATTTATTCCAACTTATAAAAACACAGAGGAACAGATTTATAGTCAGGAACATGGACACAAGAGAGAAGTCTACTTTATATCTCACAGTTTCAATACATCAAAGGCAAATTATTTGTCTGTATACTGTAGGCTTACTTTATCAGCAATGATAAAATAGAGGAAAATATTTATATACAGTCACCTCAAGTGAAAAATAAAGCAATGTAAACTTAAATTCCAAAATATTATTTTAAATGATATAACAATATCCCCAAAAGTCCTTCTTCCAAGGGGAAGAGGACTGATTAAGTGCCTTCATTTATCAGGAAATGATCATTCTAAGTACCAGATACATGAAGCAGAATAAGGGAGGGCATCCTGTGATACCTGTAGAAAAGAGTGATAACTCTGCTTCAGGAAAGCATCTCTGTGTAAGCAAGTATATGTTTGAGTCCTTATGGACATCAGCAGCACATGGAAAAATCTCCCCTAAACCAGGGCTTGACTTAAGTCTGCACAGCTCTGACTCCAACCACCCAGCATACTTTTCTGGCCAGGCCTATTCCTAGGGACAAAACGGGGTGTCCTGGTGGTAGGACAGCATCAAACCTGAGATGATGACCTCCCCAAGAGTCAGAATAGCAAGTTCCATGCTGCTGGAAAAGATTTAATGGCTACCTCAATGTTGTTGCTTCACAGCAGACCAAGAAGTTACCACAAAGCGGCGAGACTGGGACTGTGTCTCTAGTGTATTACATGAAAAACACTCCAGCAATTCAGTGATGAGAGTAAACTGAATTCAAGGTTACCAGAAAGAAGGTTCCTACACATCACAAAAGCAATAGGAGACCACCCAGAGGAAAGGTCTTGCAAGGACTGCTGTCAAGCCCTGTAAGGTTAGTTCTGCACACAAGAGATGCATAAGGTGTATGTACACGCATGTGCAAAATATTTTTCTGCACTACCACTGCTGAGTTATGCTTCCCACATGGCTACCAAGCAACATTGACTGAAAATTCAGTCCTCTTTCTCAGCCTAAGAGAAAACAACAGCAACAGCTCAGGTGGAGGTAAATGACACTTCTTAACTGTGACTCTGAAACTGACAGTGCTCACCCACATCTTCCCATCACCATGGAGGGCAGGAAATCCAAGGGAGAAGCCCAGTACCTGAAAAAAGATTACAGGACTACAGCTTGCCCAAAGCAAGGTGACAGGGTGGTCCCTTTCATTTCATTCCAAGCTGCAGCTCACTTGTGTCTCAGTTCTGCAAGACATAATCACTCTGGCTGTGGTCCAGTGAAGTGCAAAGGCATAGTTTCACTGAAGTTGTTCATGTTGCTTCAACCTAACTCCATGATAAAGAGTTTTATGACTCCAGGTGAGAATCACACCTCAGGTTTTGCTCTCTCTTTCCAAGAACAATGCAGATCATGATACTGTTGCCCTTACTAGATCACAATAGGAAAACCCACTGGGTTTCCCTATGTCTTTTTCCTCAGACCAGCAACTTGTTAAAAGGTTGTTTAATGCTCCCAAGGGAAACCTCTGGAATGCATACGAGATGCCCAAGAGAGATATTTCAGCCCTGTTGCTCTTCTTTTGCCTGCTGATGAGCCACTCTTCTGGAAATTTGTACAGTTACAGAAAAAAACCCCCCTCACTACTGCTGTACGGCTGTATCTGCAGGAGACATCACAGGCACCTGTCCTTCTTGGACACTTTGGACATGATGTCCCTTTGCTGAATTTTCACAGAGCAAGGTCAACATTTTCAGAAGTAAAGCTGTGTATTAGATCCCCAGAGCATGATTTTCAGAAGTAGTCAGCACGGATGCTCCTTGTACAGGCATCGGCTGATACAGACAGGGAGAAAGTCAGCCCAGTGTTAAGCTAACAGAAAATTCCACCCACTAACTCTTGCTTAGACTCTCAAATATATGCCTTGCCTTCAACAAGCAGAACAACAGGCAGCCCCTGGTGGACAACACATGAAGATCAAGGCAGCTCAAAGTACACCATAAATCTGCAAAAGGTCTGATAGCTGTTTAAACTTATTTGAGAACAATTAGAACAACACGCATCCTAACAATGTCTGCAGCTTCTGAAGTGCTTTGGCCAAACAAGCCTCAGAAAAGAACAGTGAGCTTTGCAGTGCTGAGCCATAGAAGCCATACTTTACTTATGAAATACACACATCTATAGGCATGTTTGCCAAGCAATGTAAGCCTCAGAATGCACCTCACACAGAGGAGTGATTTTAAAGTTTTTAAATAGCCAAAAAACTCTGTCCTTTTTAGCCAAATTATAATTCTAGACTCAAGTAAGAGGACACATTTGTCATGAATATGTACAAATTTAAAAAAAACCCCAACCACAACCCACCCCTGTTCTCATCCTACAGTCTTTCAGAATCTGACAGCTCTGAGCATGAGATTTTCGTAAGTGTGTGAGTTAAGACTTATATTACCAGTAGAGTTTGGCCTCTGTGGTGACACAGACAGACTCGACAGCATTTATCTCCCTCTTCCCAGCAAGAGGCTAAGGGAAGTTGGAGACAAACAAGTCTCCATGGTAGCTTAGCTAGCTGCTTTGTCACTACACCATGATACTCAATTGGCCCAAGCTGAAACTCGCCTGTTTAGACCAAAGGTATCTTCTTGTGCTAGTCTCATTTAGGAGAGTTACAGGCAGGATCACTGCTAAAGTGGATACTAATTACAGTGGTTTCTGTCAGAGAAAAATCCAGCCCTTGTAGCTTGCTGCACTTTCAATGCTTGCACTGCTAAGTGATGTACCTTCACTGGTCCAAATAAACCTCTGGCCTGTACCCGAGCTGGCTCCTGGCCCAGATTTAAAAGCAGATGCCATGGGATGTCCCTCATTGATTAAACATCTATAATTTTTATGGAATAATTAAGTGTTCAAAGGCAGGGAAGAGATAACACTTTGGACTAGCCTAAATTTGCTCTTTCTGACCACAAGTGCAGAGTGAGGTCAATGGTCCAACCTTTGGGAAAGTTCTTACTTGCATTTGGTAAGGGATGGGCTCTAATAAATAACTACAACACAACCTTAATGAATCTATCAAAATGTATGAGCAAGGGACATTCTCTCAGGCAAAGCTGGGCCTGCCTCCTTTCAATGTTCAACTGTATGTTACCGTCAGCAGAGCAGATACTCCCAGATGGCATTCAGACTTTTTGCATGGAGCTGTCCTTCTTGGTCTCATGTAAACCAGTCTCCACACAAAGGGACTGTGCTAGGCCTGGATAAGGGTGCTGCTGTCACAAGGGAGAAAAGCAGCAGGTGCTAAGGACAGTTCCTCAAGCAGCACAGACTAGAGAGAAAAGGAAGCCAGCATTTCTCGTTACTCCCAGCACTAAGGGCAGTGCTAGAGCTCACAGTCTCCAGCAGGTGACCAGCCATGGAGGGTGGCACTGGCTTCTTCTTACAGCATCATCGTCCTGTGCAGTAGTGCTCAGCTCAGGTGGTATAATTTCTCTGAAGGCTGACAAAGCTGCTTCTTCCTGGAGCTCAGGTCCCCACAGTGAAGCTCTAGGTGAAGCAGTTCACTATGCTGCACCTATGTTGCTGGGAGAGCTCTGGGAGAGAGGAGAGAGGCGAGGCCAGACGTACTGTGTCTATCTGCACTAAAAATATCCTTTAAAAAGCACAAGCTGCAGACTAGCTCTTTCTGAGACAGCTTCTATGGTTCATCCCTCTAGGCAGCCTAGATACCAGATGCTGAGAACACATGCTGAGGAGCAATGATTGTGCTCTGATGAGAAACGTTAGAGAGACTTCTTAACTGCCCCCTCAGAGCAGATGTGACGTCCCAAAGCCTGGGGAGAGCAATACTGGAGAAAATTTAAACAAGCAGCAAGCTGTAAGATTGCTTTGCCATAAGATGTATATACTGCCTTTGACCCTGCAGAAGCAGCCAGTTTCCAACAACCTGGATACTAGAAGAGTAGGAATGCTGCAAGTGTCTGGTCTAAGTGTGGGAGAGGGAACTTTGCATCCCTGCAGCATAACAACTAGAGGATCACGGCAGTCTAAAACTCGGTCTCACACCTCCCAGCTATAACTGTGGCTGGAAACACAGGCTACCGACAAGCAGAGTGAAAAAGCTGTTCACAGGGTTATCCATTCAATGCAGCCCTGCTTCAGAGCAGGTTTTCTCGATGCATGATGGGAAAGTTAAATTTTCTGGATTTCTGCAAGCGTGGAAGGAAACAGACCTGTTATACAGAAGCAGCTGAGGTGTTAAGATGACAGACAAGAGCAGCTTGTCAGAAAAGGAGGAGGAGCTGTCAGACTAACTGCAATAAGACCAAAATTCATTTAAAAATGGAGAATGCAGACACAGTAACCAGTGTGCCATCTGCAGAGAAAAGCCTTTTGCACTTTCCAGGAGAACACTGCCATGCAATGTCTCCAAGAAGCTTGATGATGACCCTGTCACCTCTGACTTCCTCCACTGCCATAATCATGTCTTCACTGAATGGCCTGCTCCAGTCAAGCAAGTACCTCATTTCTCCACTGGAGAAAGGAAAAAGTTTTGGCTTTTTCAAGTCAGAAGAGCAACTATCTTTGTTATCCAAAGGCATTGGAGCTGTGAAAAGTCACTGACCAATTCCAGTCCCTGGAGGTCTGCTAGGCTGAACTTCTCCTCAAAGCAGGGTTTTGCAGAGCACTGCTTTCAAGGAGAGTCCCTTAACGGGGCCTTAATGGACAGACTACAACCTGGGAGCAGGCAAGATCAGAGGGAAAGTATTTTAGTGACGAGCTGTTACTAATCATTAGAAAGTTTCTGGTAACCATTTTCAAGTGAGTGGCTACAGACAAAAAACTCTGAGTCGGCAACACAGCTGAACAGCGTTCCCGCACAACTCTGGTGCATCAGTCACTCTGCTGGCTGACTTGCCTCTCTACATCAATTGAAAACACAACATAAATACTGGCTTTAGAAGCTACAGTCATGTTCACTAGTTCATGCGTAATTTATCTGCAAGATGCAGACAAACACACATTCAGTCCAGGGAGTCTCTTTCACAGACACTGATGAACAAAAACCATCTCAATCAGTCCCCTGCATCCTCCTGGCTCACAGAGGAGACTGGCATTGGCTTCAGAAGAGTCTCACCCACTTTGGCTGCTGGGTGGGGAGAGGGGAAGGCAATTTTCCCCTTCTCCATCAGATCTCTGCTGTCAGGTGCAGACTGGGGCGGCCCTTTCCTGTCTCTCCTTCCTTAGCAAATGGTTCAGCCCCTGGAGGATGAGTAAGCCAGCAATGCTTCAGAGAAGGGCGGATCTGTCCAAAACCACTGTCTGCACCTTAAGAAAGGGGAAGCAAGGAGGTGCTGACCCCAGCCTGCTCCCCTCTTTGCATCCCTGCTCTACATGCAGGCAGAGGCTTCGCCTGAGCAATGATAGTGCACTGGAGCAGGGAGGGTGACAAGGAAGGATGACACCTCCCTGCATCCCCAATGCAAAGGCTCTCCTGCATGCACACATGCTCATGGCAGCCAGCCAGTAACTCCTCCTTGCACTGAGCACACCCAGAAAACTGCAGGCTTCTCCAGTGATTTGCAGCTCAAGTCCCAGAGGAGGGTTGGAAACCAGCAGAATATCCTTACATACTGCAATCAGAGCTCCTGAGCCGCTGCAGTCAAGCACTGATCTCCCCTAAAGGCAAACATTTCAGCCAATAAAGGCAGCATGCAGGGTACCATGCAAAGCTACCTGGTCAGACTCTCTGCCTGAGAATCTGCCCCTTTATAGCATCATCAGGAGGGAAAAAAAACCAAATTACAGTACTGATTGCTAGATGAACCTATTCCCAAGGGAGGGCAGGAGTCTTACACTTTCACAACAGGATATTTTTTCTTGGTCTCCAAAGCATGCATTTCTAAATGGGTGCCTGGGATGTTAATAAATTGTAAAGTAACAGAGGAAAATGGCATTAATTAAAACTGGAGCAGAAACTATAAATTCTGGGTAAACTAATCTGCATGCCTCAGCAGCCTCAGCAAGACTGTTCTAAGCTCAACAAATGTTTAATGACTAAAAAATGCAGTGAAAAACTGCATTCAATACAATTAGATGAGACCTAAAAAAAATACGCTAATCCGTTTACAAGTATACATGGAAATAGATAGTAAATAATGAAAAAAAAAACCCTCTCTTTAGCAGTCCACTTTTTGATTTTTCCCATTGCTTCAAATCATCTTTTCTGCAACGACTTTGAAGAGGAATTATCCAGTTTCTGTGTCAAAGTTAGAAAATGCACTTAACAGGAGAAATTTCTTTTTGAGCTCAGCAATTTAACTGGAATTTTCAGCAACCAAAATCCATTAAAAGCCAAGAAAGAAGAAAGTTAAATGTCACCTCTTTGCATTTTGAAGCACTGCACTCCATAAACACAAGAGGTTTGCCAAGCATATTCTAGCCTGCCTTCAAAAAGATCATCTAGTCAACCCAACCCTGACAGCCAAGCATGGCCATTTACAGATCTGTACCTTTTCTGGGTTTTGCTTCTGCTGTTCTGGCCAGGATGGGGATAATTTCTGCCCTAGCCAGGGGTATGGCTTGGACTTGAAGGTTATTCTATACTATCTCATGTCATCTTCCAGGAACAGGGGAAGATGTCCCTTCTGGGTTGGGGTGTTGGGAAGCAAGTGGTTGGGTATTGTTGGCGTCTGCATGGTGAGCATTCTTGAACACTGTTGCTGTTTACCATTCATTTTCTTATCTCATTGCCGTTTCCAGCAAATTGTTTTCTCAACCTGTGATCTTTGCCTTTTATGCCTCCAATTCTCCTCTCCAGCCCACTGCAAGGATGGCGAGGGGAAGGAGGGAACGAGCAAGGACCATGTAGTGTGTAGAGTCTCAGTGGGAACACTGAACTGGGGAATAGCACTCCTTAATCAAAACAGAGAGGTCAAGTTTTCTTCCCAAATGTGCATCCAGCATTTCCCAACTGAATTGCTTCTCTCTGTTCTGCTTGTCTTTTTCAACCTCCAAAGCATGACAAACAGCTGGAGGGATCTATCTTTGTTACCCCTCCATGAGCTGTTGTTCTACCACTCTTAATTACTCCAAATAATCCTTCCCAGTGAGCACTACCATGCATCTCTCTACACTGAGTCTCCCCATGCAATAAGCTGCACCACATCACTCTGGCCCCAGAAGGAGAAGATATCTCTCTTCTTCAAGAAGAGAACTAAATGTTAAATCCACCTTAGTAGGAATGCACAACTTCTAAAGCCTCAGCACTTGGGAAACACTGGCAATTTCTACTCAGGACTCCGCAAGCTTTTAGCAACGCGGCCAAGGTTAGGAGCCAGCCTCCTGACTTTTAGCACGGAACAGCCACTCTCAGTGGCAGATGGATGCGCATCCCAGCATCATTTGTGAGAACAGTCTCATCTGGTTTTGCTGCCAGGCTGGAACTGCAAGGATCAATTTTCTCTAAAACCACACATCTGAGTATGCAACATCATTGTTACAGCCAACAGTCAGCAAAACACCAGGAAAGCTGTTGCATGGTGGTACTTGGTAGAGGAGGCAAGTCATGCAGTGCCTGTTAAGGGCCTTTTCTCTTCGATCATTCCCAGTTCTGCTCACTGGTCTGGCAGCTCAATAAAAACTAGATGAATTGACTTGGACCCTTGGGAAGCCTGACAGAACACACCCAGGTAGCAATTTTTTTGATGTGTGGCCCTTTGACTACTTGGGCTGAAAACACCAGTGCATTTTTAAACAGTCCTTGCACTGATCTTGATGCTTCTATATGCATTAAAGATTGCATTCATCAAGAAGCTGTCCTGTGCCAGGCACAGCAGAATGAACAGCAAGGAGCAATTTTCAACTGGTTCTCAACATTATCTCCCCAGACGCTCTGAGGGAAAGGCCAGTTTGGTTGTACTACTTCACATTGGGAAAGGGCGACACAAAATGGGAGAGACCTGTCCAAGCTCACCCTGAGGGCCAGTATTAAAACAGAGATTAAAACTCAGATAACAGGTAACAGGAGAGCCAGAACTCTCTGCAGAGCCATGACACTGCCCAGACAAGAGAGACTGGGAAGCAGGAAAATTATTTCTGTGTCATCTTTCCGCTCTCTGTGCCTGAAAACTGCTGGCCACCCCAAGGGTCTATGGCACAAACAGGAGCCTTTCAGGTGTGAAAAGATCTACCCATGGTGGTCTCTCCTGGTCCTGTGCTCCCCTTGGAAAGCCTGGCACAGGGTATGCAGGAACTGTGAGGAGGCACCAGCCTCTTCCAACCGGATGTGAGCTAAAGAAGGAAAATGGAAAACGGAAGAGAATCCTTTTCTGAAGAAAGTGCTTTGTCACTATGAGAGGAATTGAAAGCAGCTCTCTGTGCACACCAACAAGGAAACCCCTGGAAGGGGAAGCAACAGGACACAATATATCATAAGGCTCTATATAGCAGCTAAGTGAGAGCGTATAGTTAAAAACTACGCAGAGGCCCTTTGTCTTTAATATATATAATTAATACATAATGCTAATGGCTGACATCTACAGCAGCCTTCTTTGCAAATTAATGTGAAGCCCAGATAGCCATTCCAACTGGGTAATCCCTAATATTCCTGACTGCAGAGACAAGCAGAGACAGCATGGGTTTGGATGCCTTCCAGCCTGCAAACTGAGGAAAAGGCTCTCTGCTTGGAAGGAAGCAAACAAATTATTCCAATGCTATCATCCCAGCATTGCCAGAGGTTTCCAGGTTTCATTCCTTCACACTCACGTGTCCAGGGTCAATGCAGCAACAATAAGCAACAGTGACTATTTACTGTACCACCTGCTGCTAAGTACCAGTACCAACATGCCCCATATTGTCAGGAAACTAGTGTTCCCAGCAGCCTAGCCTCTAGTCAGCCTTCTGCAGCTGCATGTTTGCACAGCTCTTCTTACAGCTACAGCTCACATTCATAGCACTGCAGCACTTGTCCAGTTATTTTTCCCACCCACCACATAAATAAAGTGACAAGTGACTTGAGAGATGAAAGCCACATGCCGATGGGAGGAGATAAATGGGGAGGAGACAGAATAAACGTCACAGCGCTCTACGCCTTCCCCAGCTCCTTTAGAAACAGAACAACACAAGAAAGTCCCAATGCTTCAATTGCTAAATGATAAATTAACAAAGCAAAGCAAAGCAGGAGCAAAGACATCTCCCACAATCTGCACAGAAACAGCAAAATATACAATAGAAAATGTCACTAACACCCCATTCAGGCAGATGCACTTATTTTTTGTGAATGACAGGTTATTAAATGAAAAAATTTTGACCACCGATACTTTGCTGCATGGCTGTTCCCCTAGTTGTCATTTCCACTCTAAGTGACCTTCTGCTTAATGCTGGGTGTTTCTGGCCTGTAGTCCTTCCTCTCCGAGACATTGCGTTTCACCTTGGCACTAACTGGAGACTCCTGATTCAAAGAAGGACTTGAGTGGGATTTCTTCAGTCCTGGTGCATCATTCTCTCCTCCGCTCAGCAGCTCCTTCACCCCTTCTTTCAGTAGGCCAACATAAATCTCATAGCGACTTTTCTGGGAAATGAAAAGAAAGGCCCAAATCAGTCTGGAAGAAATTCTGCAGGGGCACATGAGAGACCTCCTAAGTAACATAACGTTTTCTGCTGGCCTTGAAAGCCAGGAGCTCAACATGTGTGTGAACAATGGTGCCTAATGTGGATATGAACAATAGTGGCTAATATAAATTGAACAAAGATGATTTCAGGCAGACTGAGGCCTGGGGTGCTGTGTAATTAGATGTACTCAGTTCTGCAGCACAAAAATTCCAATGCTCTGCTGACTGGTGGCTCCCATTCCAAGTAACACCACCAAACAAAAGCTTGCTACTTTAGCCATGATGAGATGTAAGCTGTGTTCATACATACTGTGATCCTATGTGCTCAGGTACAGATGGAGATGAAGTGCACTAAACCAAGGAAAGTCTTGCTCTGGTGCAATCCTCCACTTCCACCAGCAGGTCCTGCTTTATGTGCTTTTCTTATCCATGGGGGAAAACCAAAGCAAGGTCTAAGTTCGGACTGTACCAGCATGGCCACCACTAGGCACATGAGAGAATCTTCTGAAAGGCCAGATCTTAACCAAAAGGAGCAGATGAGAGGGATATGACAGCAGCATGGTATGTTCTGCTGCTACATCACTCATAGGGAATGATGACAGTTGCTGTTTGTCCAGACACTTGTATTTTTCAACCGGAAAAACTTCTCTTTAATGTGCCACATGACCATTTGCTCTATTCCTTGTCAGGACCAGAGTTTTCCTCTCCAACGGGAAGATTTTGTTCTGTTTTCTACAATTGCATCATTTTCCAAGAAACAATTTGGCAAGGAAGAAAATGAGGGTGCAGTAACAGAAGATCCCTAAAGAGTCTCAAAAACAGATATTGGGGCAGGAGGTCCTGGAACAGAGCAAACCACTTCACAGGATTTATTTAATAACCTGCCCCTAATATATCCACTAAAGATATGGTGCAGGCATTGTAATTACAGTGATCTCAGTGTGCTGGGAGTCAGGGAAGGTGGATCATCCTGATTGTTAACTTGTATTTCAAACTGGCAAAACAGCAGCCAATGTGGCAAAACAGCAGCCAAGCTATTATGTTCCTGACAGAGGAAAAAGTATTTAAGAAAATATTTTAAATTTTCTAATAAAATAATAAAGTTCTGGTGAAAAAATTTATTTGAGGGCAGGAAGTCAAAAAACTTGGTAACCATTTTGAAGTGTGGAATATAAAAGGGAATAAAAAAAGGAGAAAACATGACTGGCTTTTGAGAATCCTTTGAATAAACAAACCCTTATAGAGGAGAATTGTAGCAAAATCCTCCTACAAATTAAATAAAAAAGCATTCCTATGACTTCCATATCTGTAGCTGGAGCTCCACAACGTGAGAGACAAACACATGAAGCAGGTAAGATGTGTCATTTAATAAAAATGGAAAAACAACAAGAAGAACCCTGACGATGATGCACTGAGCTGATGGATGATTCATCACAAAATGAACCAGACACTTCTGTAAAAGGCCAGCTAGTGCTCTCAGCTTGCGAACAGTGTAATATCATGCAATGGAGAGGGGGGGCTTTACTGCTGTATGGATTTATGCTTTTACTGGTCCAGTAAATACCACCAGAGTCTCAAGACTCAACAATCAGAATGGAAATCCAGGACCTGCATGTGTGCAAATGGCCATTTTACCCTGGACTTTGTGGGGCCTTGGCTTCTATTACAATTAATCAACACGTTCCTACTTTGATTTCAACCCCAACAAAGCTGGTCTTTCAGTGACCTGACACTTGAAGTTAGTAATTCTGCCTTAAAAGAAATTAATTTGGAAATTTCTGTCGAGAAACAAAAACCACAGAAGTTGAAACCATTCAAAAGCTTCTGCAACATTATCTCTGATGAATGAATGCACATAATAAAGAAGTATGAGGTAGCCACGCATCAGTATTCTGGCATCACCTCTCACCTGACAGCATTCAAAAAGATCTTTAACTATAAATTTTCTGCAATAAACAACAAATATTTTGCCATCTGATGCAGTACTTCCTCAGAGAGCAGGCAAACTGGGACAGACAAACAGAAAAACTGTTCCTTCTGTGGTGTGTATAAGCAAAGACACCATCAAAAACAAATACTACTGGCTGCATACCTGAACAAGGACTGGTAACCTCCTGGTTTACCTCCCCTCCATCTCATTAGTCTTTCGTAAGGAACAAGAATGAAGACTTCACCAGTGTGTGAAAAGAAATTGTAAGGATCTACAGACAAGGAAAATGGCATCTTCCTTCCTAATGGTACCATGCTGCTACCTTAGGGACTCACCGGCGTTTTTGGTGTCTTTCCTGAGACGTATCAGCATGGCCCTTTGTACACAGACACTAGGTTTAGCCTGCAGTCTCAGTCTGAAAGAGACAGCTACAAAATCCTGCCTCACCTGACTCTTGCCTTTTCATTTAACCTCATGCAGCAAGCTTTTTCACCACCTCCTGCCAACCCGGACAGTACGCTGATGTGAAGGGAAGGTCTCCATTCACAAAGTTTCCATTCAAAATTTTCATATAGCTCAACATTTAGGTTTGGTTCAGGATTTTTACTGCCTCATAGTATAATAGAATAAACTGAGTTGGAAGGGGCCCACAGAGATCATCCAGTCCAATTCCTGTTCCTGCACAGGACCATCCACAAGAATCATTCTATGCGTCTGACAGCGTTTTCCAAATGTTTCTTGAACTCTCTGTGACCACTTCCCTGGGGAGCCTGTTCCAGTGCCCAACCACCCCTGGATGAAGAACTCCTCTCTAATGTCCAGCCTAAACCTCCCCTGACACAACTTCAGGCTATTCCCACACATCATCACAGACAGATCCGTGCCTGTCCCTCCTCTTCCCCTCACAAGAAAGTTGTTGACTGCAATGAGGTCTCCCCTCAGTCTCCTCTCCTCCAGGCTGAACAAACCAAGGGACCTTAGCTGCTCCTCACATGGCTTCCCCTTAAGGCCCTTCATAATCTTCACTGCTCTCCTTTGGAGGCTCTGGGGTTTCGTGTGTTTCTTATACTGAGGGGCCCAAAACTGCCCCCAGCAGTCAAGGTGAGGTTACCCCAGTGCAGAGCACAGCAGGACAATCCCCTCCCTTGCCCAGCTGGTGATGCTGTGCCTGATACACCCCAGGACACAGCTGGCCCTCCTAGCTGCAAGGGCACTGCTCACTCATATTCATCTTGTCTTGACCAGGCCCCTTTCCATGGCATGGCTCTACATTTTCTCACTCCTAGGGTTGCCCCATCCCAGATGCAGAATCTGGCACTTTCCCTTGGTGAACTTCATACGGGTGGTGATTGTCCAGCCCTGTAATTTGTCAAGGTCTCTCTGCAAGGCCTCCTTGCTTTCAAGGGAGTGAATGGCTCCTCCCAGTTCTGTATCATCTGCAAACTTGCTTAGTATCCCTTCCAGTCCTGTGTCCAAGTCATTCACGAAGATGTTGAAGAGCACAGGGCTATGGACGGAGCCCTGTGGTACCCCGCAAGTGACAGGTCACACCAGTCTGATGTCACTCTATCCACTGTAACCCTTTGTGCCTGACCCATGAGCCCATGAGCCCCATGCTCACCCATCACACGAGGGATTTATCCAGCTGAGTGCTGGACATTTTCTTCAGAAGGGTTCTGAGAGAGACAGTATCAAAAGCTTTATGAAATCAAAAAAGATTGCATTAACTGCCTTTGGTTGATCAACTAAGTGGGTTATCCTGTCATAAAATGAAATCATTGAAAGCAAATGAAAGCAGGACTTTCCTCTCATGAAGCTGTGCTGGCTGTGATGATGGCTCCAGTGTCCTCCTGGTGTTTCCCAATACTTCCCAGAAGAATCATTTTCTCTGTAATTTTACCAGGCACCAAAGTGAGACTGACAGACCTGTAGTTTCCAGTGTCACCCTTTTTGCTCTTCTTGAATACTGGGAAAACACTAAACAGTTTCCAGCCAACTGGGATCTCTCCAGACTGTTCAAATATCATCTAGGGAAGTTTTGTGATGACATCAGGCAATTGTTTGAGGTTTCTTGTATGAGTCTCATCAGGCCCCATATATTTGTAGAGATCCAGCTGGAACAGCTGACCCCACACAACTTCAAGGTTGAAGCTGGGAGCTGATCATTCTCATAGTCATGGTCCTCCAGCTCAGAGCACTGACATCCCCCTGGTCTGTCATCCATATTGAAGACAGAAGCAAAGACTGCACTAAACACCTCTGCCTTGTCCATGTCCCTGTTTGTGAGATGACCATTCTCATCCTGTAAGAGGCTGATGTTATTTCTACACTGCCTTTTGCCATTAATACACCTTTTAAAACACTCTATTGTCCCCCACAGTTCTGGCCAGCTGCAACTCCAACTAAGATTTGGCCACAGAAATTTTCTTGCTACAACAGTGACCAGCATCTCTCTCTGCATTCTTCCCACGCCACCTGACCTTGCTTCCACACAGCATAAACCTTCCTTTTTTGCTTTAGCTCCAAAGGAAGATCCCAGAGCCTTCTACCTCATCTGTTTTGACTTCCAACATTTTGGAATTGCCTGCTCTCACAGCCCTTGGAGTGGTGTCTTGATAGTTCAACATGGTCTGTGAAATCTGTGCTTAGTGTAAAGGTAACACAGGCACACACATCAGCACCTTGAATTACCATTTCTCCCACAAAACTGAAGTTGTGGCCACAACCTGCCTGCTTAGATGAGCATTCCTTCTGAGCTGATCACTTATCTGAACTACACAATTCAAATGCTGTTTGAGACTCTCACTAGTGAAGAGGACATGTCTTGTTTCCTGGACTACACTAGTTCTGACTTGTACTGAGGTACCTGAAGAATATCTCAAAAGATCACCCTGATAAAATTGACAGGAAACAGAAAAAAACCCCACAACAATCTACTCCCCCATCAATATTTCTATAAATGTTTAACACTCAGCTTACGTAACATCCCAAGCTTCTAAAAGTGATAGAAAATAAACTGTGCCAAGAACCCAAAGCTAAGAAACTGCTTGATCTTCCAAGTTTTACAAGATCCACACCAGAGAGAAAGTGTGTGACTTACTCTGAACATCTGAGTACTCTGTTCAAAACTGACACTGTGCCATTGATCACAACCCCTTGATCTCAATTGTTCAGCCAAATCACCTTATTGTCAATTTTCCAATCCACTTCATCAGCTTGACTACAAGCACATTAGAGGAGACAATGTCAGAATTCTTGTCAAAGTGAAGAACAAACAACATCCACTGCTCTCCCCTCATGCATCACACCAAACATCACATCATAAAAGACTACCACGTTAGTCAGGTTATGATTCCTCTTTTATAAAGCCATGGTGATTGGCTTTGCTACAGAAAAGTGAAACTCAACACAGTGGTTACAACCCTCTGTAAAAGCAAAAGTATGCAATAAGTTCAGGAGTAAAAAGAGTCCCTCTAACAGAAACTGACAGCATGGGGCACAAGGCTTATTTCAGTTCTGAAGGCTTGTGCTATGCTGCCTCCAGCATCAGCTCTGGTGGTCTCATTTGTCTTATCTGCTCTTCCTCTTTTCCAGACTATGTATTTTCCTTGCCAGGCAGTGCCTATTTAGAGTAGGATCCTTTTAGACTCAAGGCAACAATGACTTGCAGTCCTGAGGGAAAAAGCTCAAAGGTGTAGTTGTAAGAAATACCAGACATCTGCTGGGCTGGCAATTCATTCCCACATAAATTGTGGCAGACACCATCACAGATAAAAGCTAATAGTCAGATACTCAAAACAACCTCCTAATGCATCTGCCCAAGTTGCATCACTCAACCCTGTGATCTTTGTATCTTTAATTCTACCATCTTCCTTCTCATCCTGACATCCATCTCAGTGGTATACAAATGCCTTTGACAAGGGAGGCATGCCTATGACTATGACTATAACTTCAGCATAGCAGTTCCTTCAGAACCTACTAGTGGAAGACAATTACCATGATCTTCATTTCTGCAGAATGCAGTCATTCTCTAGAGACTGAGGTTCCAACACCAGGCAACATATTTTGTACATGAAGATCTTAAAACCTCTTCACACAGATACATCAGGAAGGACAGGAGTCTTGTTTTTATCCTCCATGTTACAGACTAGGAGCTAAATTCACAGCTAAAAAAGTTCTCATCAGAAAGAAGACCCACATCCCAGCATCTGCAACTGCTGTGACTTTTCTGTCTAGCAAGAACACACTTCCTAGGGAACTGAAGTGAAAAATGCAGAACTTCAGGACTGTACCCCAAATATAAGACCATTCATACCCAAGAAGTAATAATGTTTCCCATATATACCTCAAATTCCAGATAGTGGTCCTTCAGTTTGTAATCATCTACTTCCTTGCCTTTGAGCTTCTTGTCAGGAGGATAGGAGCGATGTTCAGCAAGCTCAGTGGAGATCTGCTTCAGCTTAGCTTCATGGGACTTCAGCTGTTCATCCTTCAGAAACACATTAGGCACTTAAGTGACAGAATCTAAAATATCCAATAAGCAAAGAAAAATAGAGAGGTTCCTGTACCATAATACCTCATCGTTTCCTTTTCTATCATCCCAGAGTGCTGCCACCAACAGCTCTCTCAAAGGCACTCAAAGTGGCCAAGCTTGCTGAAAAACTCAGCAGCTAGCAGATGCCACTGAGAAGGAGAGCAAACCTGTCATCCATTGCCTTGCTGTGAGCAACACAAGCAGCTTGCTGTCGAGCAACGTGACTGACAACATGACACTTTTGCTCTAATACATTTTTTGGTAAATTAATTAAGACTGTTGTGTATGCAGACAAACCAAGGGCAGAATGAGACAGGCAGAAAACCCTGCCTCAGGTCTTAGCAACGTAAAAGGCATTCTTTCCAGGATAGAAAAGACATGGAGTCAGGGCCCCTCCTTCTATTTCTGCACTGCCAAAAGCTCTCTGGTGTGTGGTTTCTATTTGTTTAGAACAATACAATGCATTCAGAAGAAGAAGGGCTGTCCAGTCCCCCAAAAGTATACCATTTTGCTAAGCTTTTATCCCACTGTGCAGCTGGAGAAAGTGAGGAGCTGCTACTCCCACTTTCTAGGCAATTTCCTTTATCATAATCCCAGGCCCACTCACTTCCTCCAGTCCATCTGTCAAGCTAACCTTCCCTCATCTCAGAAGGTTTCCATCTCCTGCAGGATGGCCTTCTGTCCCATTTCTAGGCTTGGATCTGAAATTCTGTTTGAATTAGGTGAGTCCAAAATAGACACATGATCATGCAGATATTGGTGAACTAGCCAAGAGGCAGTACCCAGGTCAGCCCCTGTGTAGGCACCTTGCCTCAGAGGAGGGAACAGCTGCCAGTGTTGTCCCTCAGTGGTGTGGTTCTGAGTGCAGCCCACAGCTCAGATGAAGCCCACAGCTCAGATGAAGCCCACAGCTTCAAACCTAGCTCAGACATGCCTGCACTGCACTGAGTCACACTGGGTACTGAGCCTCTTGGCTCGCTGAGCTGGAGCTGCAGAAAACAGCAGAAAGGGGGAAAACTTCTACAGACGATGATAGCTAAGCCCCAGTTAATCTTGTGTTTCAACTCTCTTGCAGGAGAACGGAAGAAAGAAACATGTGGGATAATGTACCTCCGCCTAAACATTGTAGGGCTGAAACCACTTGATTGCCAAAAAATTCTTGTTGCTGTTAGTTACTACCCTAAATGTGCCTGCTCTCTTATTAGTGCCCAATCACTCTTACATTAAGTTGATTCCCTGGTCCTAGGGACATCCTGTGGTAGTGAGCTCTACAGCCTGATGACAGGAGGTCTTTGAGCAGCTATTAATACAGCACTTGCCATTTTCAGGGCACCAGTTTTGGAGCTTTTGTGTGTGCTGTGCATTCTCAGAAAAAAAAAAAAGAAAAAATCCAACAGCCTAGTAGATCTTTTCTAGATTAGTTCTTCCTTTATATATAGCTTTGTCACATCCTTCTTTGGTTGGACTAACCAAGATCAGACACTGCTCTGCTTTTGAAAAAAAATCTGGTACAATGATCTTCCACAACCTGTCATCATATCCAACCTCTTCCTTACCCATGTTAGGTCCTCACTGCACCCCAACTTCTGGCTGACCAGGAACAGACCCTTTGAAGAAGTAGTGTCCATCATGATTCATCCCACAAAATCCTAAACATCAACCACAAGGATTTGACAATTTGTATTTTTTTTTGTCTGCCAAATGAGAAACAGCCTGCTGGCAGCTTTTCCGCATTGACAGATGAAAGTAGACATGTTTCTGTTTGCCTTTGAATTTATCTACTTTGAACACTTAACATTCTTCTGCTTGTCTAAAACAGCTTATCTTGTTTCACTTTTTGTGTCTCTCCTTCTCCAAGATACAAACCACAGGGTTGTGATCTATCTTTTCCCTTTCCAGATTAAATGGAAACAATGAGACTAGAAAATAACGTGCTAAATGGAACAATCACACAGAACAAAAATTAGTAAAATAACTTACTTTGGTGATGGGGGTAAATTATGGAAGCCCCATACTATATTTTTAAAAAGATATGCATGAGCAAAAAGTAAAACTGCAAGGATGAGACAAGTTAGTATTATTTTTTACATGACATGCTTTAAACTTTAACCCAGAGCAGAAGATGATAAGTCAGTGACCACATTGTAAGAAGAAAGGCTACTTTCATGGAGAGAGAAAAAGTAGGGGCAACCAAAAAAAAATCCACACCCTTAGAGAAACAGATTTTGAGACAGTGGTTTCTAAGGATAGTTGCTAAGCTATGAAGATTGTTAAAAAAAAAACAACAAATGTATTTAAGAAGCAATCCAGCATGGGCAGATCACGTCAAAAGGTACAGGAAGATGTCAAGAAGTATAACCTCTGTCATTCTGTCAATCTGATCAACATAATCAGTATCATATTCCTGCCAAAGCAGGAGGAATTCCAGGCAGGCATTGCATCTCCATAAGTATATAAGCTATGAGCACAAGCATTTCACACAGCCAGTCTGAGACATGCAGAAATACGTGCGTTTGTGCAAGAAGCAGTAGAGCTGTGAAACTCCCTGCCATGGGATGCTAAAAGCTTGTGTGATCACAAGGGAGACTGAAGACATTAATGTATGACACAGTTTTTATATATATATATATATATATATATATATATATATATTATACAAGAAATCTCTGAGCTGATAAATTAAGTCTGGAAAATCTAGTGGGAGAAATATAATTGATGCTTGTCTGATGCATCAGCTTTCATCTTTTAGCAATTCAATAAGCCAAAGGCCAGAAGTATGTCTATTTCTTCTGAAATGTGTGGTTTTCAGAAACACCCAAATTCAAAAAACCCCAATCAATTAGTATTTGAAAAGTCCTCTGCAGGGCCATAATTACAAGAAGAAAATTTTTTATCTAGTACTATTTTCTTCAAAAACATAAACCAATTGTATTTGATTCTGTTTCTTTTCTCTCCCTACTTCAAATCTTGCGTAAGGAAATGAGCAGAGATTTACTATGCAAGCCTTTTCCTCCTAGAACTGCTAGTGGCAACAGCTATAAAACAGTGACATGGACCATCACCCAGTGTCCAGCCAGAAAAAGAAATCATCATCTACCCTCTCTATCAAAATGTCTCACCTGAGATAGCTTTGTTGTGGTGGCTGGCAGGAGTGGGCGACTGAACTTCTTCTGAGAGCCAATGGCTGCTGGAAAGGGTGGTGCAGAGAAGACAGCAGCCACACAGTTAATCTTGTTGATCCAGATCTGCATTTCTTCTTGGCTCCTGGGGAAGCAACACATATTAAGCACTTGTTGACTCAGCCTCTTCTACCTCTTTCCATCCCTTCTACAGCATCTATAAGTCAGAATAACCAGAACTGGACAAGTCTTGGAGCCTGCTCCATCTTCCTGCCTATATTTGCAAGCACTCAGTCACAGGCTGGCTTGTGGTTAGGTCTGTACTTCACATGTTTTCCTAATCCAATCCAAATAACACAGGTGGCAGAGCCAACTAATGCTATGATTCAGATGTATGTCCTAAGGTCTCAGTTGCACTGGACACCACAGATCTCTAGGAGGTTTCACATGAACCTCAGTAGAAAAGGGCTCAGAAACAAAAAGGTAGGTCATCTGCTCTGTCTGGATATCACACCATGAAAAGCTTAATCCAATTACTACCTAATTCTTATTTTAGGTAGTAACTTTGTTTCTAACCACAGCATATCTTCTAGAAAGACACTCGGCTAGGACCTGATGACATCATGAGACAGACAATCCAAGACTGCCTTTGGTCATTTGCTTCAATGATTAATCACCCTGACTTTTATAAGTTTGTGCTTTGTTTCCAAATTTAATTTCCTGGAGCTTCAGCTTCTAGCTGCTCCATCTTGTTATGCCTCTCTCAGCTAGATTAAAAGCTGATGTTTCTTTCTCATGCACTACATGTGCACTCTAATCGCATCACTACTTAATCTTATTTCTGATCAAATAAACAGATTGAACCTCTTAAGTCTCTGTTTTAACCTGTCCAGGTAGGAATTTACTCCTCCTTCAGCACTGCTTTCTTTCCTCAGTGAGTGGCACGAGGAGAGCACTTACTGGGCTTGGAAAAGCAGGACTCTCCAATCTGCTGTTTTAAGCTTGAGGACATTGGGCTTCTTCTCATAGTCTGTTGCCTTGGATGCCAGTGCATGGTGCACACTAACTGCATTCTTCAGATCTTCCTCCGACAAAGCCTTTTCTGGCTTATATTCATCCTGCAGGAGACAACAGGGGGAAAACAGCCTTTTATTTCTGCATGTGCTATTCCTTTTTTCCTTAGACTAGGGAAAAACCAGAGTTCAGAAATAGTAATAGATTATATGAACTAATTGCAACCTGACTTGCACACCTGTGGTTTCCACTACCTTCAACATGTTTTCCTTTCTCTTTCTTTCTCTGTTTTGATGTCTTTCCAAGGGAGAGAAGTAGTTCCACTATGTGCTTGACAGGAAGAGATGTAAGCAGGAAGTATTTGACTATGACAACAGCTGTGGATTATTTGTCTTCATTTCAAGAATCCTTCATAATCAGCTCCCCACCTCCACTGCTCATCTACTTGCATTCTCAGCCTCTACTGCCTGATTTTAATTTTCTCAACCCATTACCTTTGTAGCTGCTCCTAGACAAGCCCTCACAGAGTGCAGAAGCCTCCTTACCAGTGTACACAAAGCAAGTTACAGCAAACTCCTTTAAATCTCTCTGATGAGGGTCTACAAACAGCAAGCACATCTCTATCTCGGTTTCTGACGCAATTCTAGCACTAGAGGACAAAAACAGGGATTCTTGTTTTGCAAGCATCAGCCTGGACGCAGTCTTTGATCTGAGTGACAGAAGCTGGACAAGGGTATAATGGAGCCACAAGTTCCATCCAAAGCCCACATGGCTTGGGAAAGCCAGGAGCTTTCTGAAAGAAAAATTATTTGCCAGCAAGGCTGCATCACTTTGTTTCTGAAGGGCAGGCCAAAGCAGTCTGTAATTGACTCTATTTCTCCCCCTTAGTATATCAAAGAAATCAGTCTCACCTGGAATATGCACCAAGTGTGACGGCTGCAAAGCAGTGAAATAACTCCCTGCAGGCATGGTAACTATTGATCCTGCACTTGAACACAATTTACGAGATGAGGTTTAGCAGGAAACAGTGCAGGACACAGAGCGTGTGCAGGGACAGCACTTAGCTTCAACATCCAGGGAGGCACCCACTTGAGAGATGACCTGGTTAATGTGCATGAATTCTTTACAGAATTTCTCTGGCATTACATCAAACACGATTGCAGCCAGAGGAATCTACACCACTGTCAAAGGTATCTGAGCTTACCACCAGGCTGGGCTGGGGCTCTCCAGGTTGAGTTTCAGTGGATAGAGAGTCATCAGGTGTGGTAACCACCTCTTAGAAGGTGGGAGAAAACATCTTATTCCTCTGCTATGTCTCATCCTTTCTGATGGAGGTCCTGCTAGTGCAGGCCCACAATATGCCACATTGCTCCTCAGACACTTAACCTGAGAAGAGGCAGCTACCCAGCAGTCCTGCCACCCCACAACGTCCATCTGGAGCTAGACAAGGGCACAACCCACCATGGGTCTGGCAGGCCCCGCAGAAACACAGAGCATTACTACACAGGTGACCAAAAGGCAGCCTCCCACCTAAAGATCTGTGGCATAAGAGATTTTCAAAGGCTGAGTTTCAAAGGCATTGAGCAAAGCCAAGCGTCCTCCCTCTCTCATAATTTGAGACTCAGCAAGATTTGGAGGCATCTATCTTGAAGGATTTTGCCTATGCCCACTTAGGGCATTCTTTAAACCTTTTTCAAGGAAGTCTGGCACACCAGACTTGGTCTGTGTCTTGAAGACGAATGAGGCAAGGCCTCAGGTCACGCCCCTTCCTTTAAGGGTTCACAAGCTGATTTATTTGGTGACAGTTCTGGGGGAAATGACTGGCTCCACTGTCCATGAAAACTGGGAAGGAAAACCTCAGAGCCAGGCGCGGTAGTTTGGCATTTAGGAAGAAAAGTGGGAAACACCCACAGAAGTGATTTCTCTGAGAGAGGCTGCTGGGAGTTTCTTCTCTGATTGAGAAGAAACTGCTTCTCTTCTTCTGAGAACTGACAGCACTTTGCACCACCTCTGAATAGTAAGACCACCTTTGTGAATACCACCTTTTAAAAACCCAAGTCTGGGAACTTCTTGTCCCTTTCTTTCTGGCCTTGAAAGGTATCAGAGCTCTGGTGCGGCTGGCCCTGCTCCCCCGTGGCCTGTGCGGCCTGGGCTCGGATCTCAGCGGCTCCCGGGCAGGGGATGGAGACTGCGGGGCCTCCCCCAGGCTGGGCCGGGCTCTGCTGTGGCCCGTCCTGGGAAACCCTCCGGGTCCCATCCCAGCGGGGGGACCAAAGCCCTTCCCAGGGGGGCCCCCAGCCCTAGGCTGGGCCAGGCCACCGCTGCTGACACTTGCCAACACCTCTCCACTCTGTCCTGGCCTGCACCGACGGCTCCAGGCCAAGGACCGTCCACTCCCTCCCAGTGACTGCCAGGCTGAG